CATTCCTGGAGACCCGGTAGGAAGCCTGGCTTTCTTGGTTGGGGGCATCCACGATTCTGCAGCTTACACTCAGCTCACACTCAGCTCACACAGCCAAATAATCCACTTGGGTCTTAGACAAAGAAATGCCATAGGGGCCACCTGTTGGGGTGTCTCCCCTTGTCCCACTGAGGACAGCTCCTGCAGGAGTGTGCTCCCACAGACAAGGTGTATCCCCTGGGCAATGTCAGCTGCAAGAGACCAGGGGCAGCCTGGGCCAGGCTCACTGTGGACTGGTGGCCCCCCCATGTTCCACCGTTCAACCACAGCAGCCAGAGTACAGAGATGAAGGAACAGATGCCACACTGTACCCAGAGCACTGATCCTCTGGGTGGGAGGGCGTGTCCCAGCCTGGAAACCAGAGGAGGGCAGGGGCTGGGAGGGACCCGGCAGGAAGCTCAGGAGTAGGTGGGACTGGCCCACAGTCATGGGGTACACTGGGAGGGGAGAGGGAGGTGCCCAGGGTGTATGGACCCTTAAACTGCAGAATAGCTTGGGAGGGCAGGAAAGGGAGCCCCCCATTAGGATTCCATGTGAAGGAGCCCAGGTGGGGTTCCATGGATGGGGAACCCCTGATGGGGAAGCCCCAGGTAGGAAGGCCCCAGGTAGGCACCAGGTAGAGAGCACCTGGCTTGGGGCCCTGGCTAGGGATGAGCATCTCACACTGGAGATGAGGCATTTGAGCCCCTAGAAGACAGCAGGGCCCAGGACTCAGTTAACACGTGTGCTAACCACTGCTGACTGCCCAGGCAGGAGACAACAGGCGCGCCTCTTACCTCTGTCATCAGCTGGACAGCCCCTCTGTCCTCACCTGCCTCTGTCCCTCAGACTCCTCCGACTTCTGGCTCCAGTGTGGCCTTCTCCCTCCAAGAACACCCCTAGATCCTTTTAGCCTGAGCACACTCAGGGCTTGCTCAGGCCCCTTGGATTTCCTGGCTGCTTCTGTGATGACCCTTAGCAGGCGCCCACACTCCCTCTCCTGCTTAACCTCTCAGCATACCCCAAGAACCCAGTGTGTGGGGGTGAGGGTCTCTCACTTGATCTCTTGGCCTTACCACCACCCTGCCACTTCACTGTTGGGTGAAGTACTCTGGGAGGGTGGAGCAGGTGGTGGAGGTGGGACCTCTGTGCTGGGCTGGGAGCCCAGTGGGCAGGAGGAGGAAGGGGCAACCTCAGAGGACGGGAGCTGCAGGCAGGACCCAGGTAGCCAAGGAGCCGGTGGGTAGGACCACCTCTGGTGGGGTGTGGCACATGGCTTTGAGTTTGTGTGTGTGCGCAATTTTTCTCATGGAGAGAAATTTGGAATTGGAGCTTAAAAAAAAGAACTTAAGAATTAGAAAGCAGCAGCAACAACAGGGCAGAGATATTTTACAGATTCCCTGATGGAGCAGGAAAGATGCATTGGGGGTTCATTCCAGGTCAAGCTTGGAAGGGACTGCAGTTCCTGAGGTAAATATGGACCCAGTCTGAGGCTATAGATACCAGTTCAATGGAAACTTCTCACACATAATTTAAGTCAGAATCACTGGAAGCCATATCAAAAGAGCACTGTTCCAGGGCCTGGTGGCCACATGTGAGCTATCTGTCCACCATCCATCCATCATATCTATCTCTCCATCTCCTCTAACCCACCAACCCATTCATTCATTCATCTTTCTTCTATCCACCCACCCATCAGCCATCTATCCATTCACTCACCCACCAACCCACTTAATCAACTATCCCCTCATTCATCCAGCCACCACCCATCTTTCTATCAATCGACCCATTCATCCATCTATCCACCCATCATCTATCTATCCAGTCTCCACTAATCCACCCACCCATTCATTCATTCATCTGTCCTTTCACTCACCCATCCATTTATCATCCATATATCCATCCACTCACCCATCCATTTAAACACTCTTCCTTCATTCATCCAGACACCCATCTACTCACCACCCACCCATTTATCCATCCGCCATCCATCCATCAGTCTATCTATTATCTATCCGCCAATCTACCTACCCACCCACCCATCCATTAATTCATTCGTCCATCCATCCACCCATCCATTTATCCACCCACCTATCCATCCGTCATCTATCTCTTATCCCTCTAACATCTACCACTCATCCATCTATCCCTTCACTCATTCCTCCACCCACCCATTTAGTCACTCACCTATCCACCCATTCATCCATCCATCCATTCATACATACATACATCCATGCACTCATCCATTATGTGTTTCTATTGATCCAACATCTATCATCCATCCTTCTAACCATCCACCCACCCGGTCCATTCATCCATTCATCTTGAAATACATCCATTCATCTTGAAATACTTCCAAGGCTATATCCCAAAGGTAATTTCATAGTAGAAGAATTTTTTTAAGGAAAGATCTAAAAACTCTGCCAGGTGCTGCCTGCCCTGGTGGGGTCTCTGGGGTAGCTCACAAGAGCCTGAGTAGGGTCTCCACATGGTTATGGCTTCCCTGGGGCCAGTATGACCAAGAGGGTCTCTACCTACCCTGGTGTGGGAACCCCGAGTGATTCTGAGGTCCCCAGAATAGGAAAAGGAGGGACAAGTGGTCTCTGCATGGATACCTGAAGAGACTCCAAGAGGCCACACCCCAGGTGCCAGCCAGTGCACACGGAGGCACCTGGGAGGCTCCAGTACATGTTCCCAGGCCCTGGAGACCTCAGGGTGGGCCTAGAACCCCTGTGCTGATGGGGTCAGAGTTCACATGGAGAAGAAGGTGCTTTGGCCAGGGAGGTCCAGGCCTCAGGGTGGGTGAGCCTAGGATGTGATGGACCATGTCTGTGTCTTTGCAGGGTGAGGCTGGCCCCATTGGACCTAAAGGATACCGAGGTGATGAAGGCCCCCCAGGCATCGAGGTGAGTGTCATCCACTCTGCTTTCCAACTGTCCAGGAAGGGCTGGCCCTGGATTTTCCCATCCCTTCAATCCCTCTGAGGCTTGTCCTGGCCCTGCAGTGTCCCATTCCACATTCTCCCTGCCCTGGTTCCCTAAAGGGCATCATGTCCCCATGTCTGCCCTGCTTATGGCCTGAATGTCATTCCTCCCTCTCTTTAGGGCCCCAGAGGATCCCCTGGACCCCTTGGGCCCCCTGGAGACCCAGGGCTGATGGGCGAAAGGGTAAGTTTGTGTCAGACCCTGGGGAGACAGCCTCTGGGGAAGAGCTGGCCATGAGGTCTGGCCATTGTACAGGGAATGTCACGGTCAACCTAGCCGACACCTGGACCAGCCCCTGCTGCTCTGAGCCACATGCTCAGGGATGGTCGTGAGCCATAGGAGTTGGAGTGGGGAGTGGGGGAGAGCAGAGGGCTGCCTTCCATCCTCACCAGTGAGACCATGCAGGGCACAGCATGCCTGGACCTGGCTGTCCCCAGAGCAAACAGGCCTGGATGCCCCACAGTGACCATAACTGCTTACTCCCCCAGGGTGAAGATGGCCCCCCTGGAAATGGTACCGACGGCTTCCCCGGCTTCCCTGTAAGCTCCCTCTACCCATCTGAGGCACTGCAGCACCCTGTAGTCCATTGGTCCACGTGGTCCACTGGTCAGAGGGCAGGTTGGGCCAGGAACTGGGTGACAAGGATTCTGCCAGCCCCGGGTCCTTCCACCTGCAGTCATTAGTGGTCTCTCCTCTTACATCAGAACTGCAGTAACCACCCCTTTTCCACCCGCAGGGATACCCCGGCAACAGGGGCCCTCCTGGCATAAACGTAAGTGCATCTTCCTCCCTCCCTCTGCCCAGCTCCAGATGTATGCACACACATCCACACCCTCACACTCGTGCACACTCACATGTGCAAGCACACATGCAGCCACACATACACTCATTCATGGGTACAAACATACAATGTACACACACACTCACACATGCTAACACACACGTGCACCCTCACACCTGTGCGAATACAACTACATGTATGTGAATACTCTTGCACCTTTGCAGACATGTGCAAACATGTGTACACATTCACACACATGCACTCTTGGGCTACACCACTGTGGTAACACAGACACTTAGGTCCCAGATTCTGGCTCACTCCCGGCTCTAATGGTGGCTCCAGCGGAAGCCCAGGCTTATGGCCACAACCTGGCCAGACTGCTGTGGGATCTGTGGGCACCCCCATGGCCCTAGTCACCTGGACCGGCCCCCAGAAACACTGAATTCTTCCTAAACCTCAGAAAATGCAGGTAACTTGTCCTTGCTGAAGCTGACTTAGGTAGGAAATCTGGAAAGAAAATGAGCAGGCAGCCTGGATGCCCCTCCTGGGCGAGAGCAGACCCAGCAAGGCACCTGTGCCCCAGGGGCCACAGACAGCCTGGACCCATCCCTTTCCACTCCATCAGCTCAGCAAAATGCTCAGTGGTGGGTGCTGTGGGCACCCCAGACACCTGCCTCCCTCTAGTGTGGAGGACAAGGGTCCTCCTCATAGCCCTGGGGACATTTCGAGCTACACCCACACTCACCTTCCATGTGGGACCCCCCACAATCCCACTAACCCACCCACTCTCTGTCCCAGGGCACAAAAGGCTACCCTGGCCTCAAGGGGGATGAAGGTGAAGCTGGGGACCCTGGAGAGGACGTAAGTGCATATCGGACAGGTGGTAACTGCCAGCTGAGTGGGGGGCCATGGCCTGGGCAAGCTGGAGGGGAGGCTGGACACCCTTCTGGACAGAGGCCTGAGCACCCAGGCTGACCGAGACACATGCCGGACAGCCTGGCTGGTGCATGACTGCCTGTTGACACCTGCTGTTTCCTTCCAGAACAATGACCTCTCACCCCGCGGAGCAAAGGGAGCCAAGGGTTACCGAGGCCCTGAAGGCCCCCAGGTGGGTCGGCATGGCCGGGAGCCCAGGTCAAAGGCAGGAGGCACCAGGCCCTAATACTTCAAACGGATGGGGTGGGGCCTCAGGTGGGATCGGCATCATTGCACTTTCAGGGATCCTGGGGATGGGCCTGTTACTAGATGGATCATGAGGTCAGGGACTTTGCCAAGATCCCACCCTTCAAGACTGTCACCTTGGACCAGAGGTGGTCCTGGCATCTGCAGAGCCCTTGGTGCCTCGGTGGCTACTCACAGGAAAGTGGGGGAGACGGGAGCCATGAAGTGGGAGGTGGGTTCAGAGTGGCTTGCTGAGGGGCACAGAGGACAAAGCTCCTTCCAGGCATGCAGCTCAGGAAGGCTCAGTGGGCACCACACCCTCAGAGCCTTCCCCATTGTTTCTCCACCAGGGACCCCCAGGACACACGGGACCTCCGGGACCAGATGTAAGTGGGTGTCTGTGGCTGAGCTCTGGGGACCGGCTGCTCAGCCATGGATGCCAGGGGGACCCATCCGAGCAAGCCCCTAGCAACACTGTCCTAGATGGGGGCTGAGAAGTGGAGCCTGGCACCCCAGACCGTGGGCACACAGGACAGCACATGGTGCCCACGGCAGGTGCCCGTGGCCTGGGATTGGGGGTCTCACAGGTAGGCCAGGCACGCCCCAGGAAGCAGGAACTCCCTGCCCTGACCCAGCCTGGCCTGGCTCCAGGGGAGGTCCTGGGAGGACTCAGCCTGGCTGGGAGGGGCCAACTGTCCCTGTTAATGCCTGTGTCTCTCCCCTAGGAATGCGAGATCTTGGATATCATCATGAAAATGTGCTGTGAGTGTCATCCTTGTCCTTGGAGTAATTAGGAAGAGCAGGGTCCACTGACACAGGGCCCACCCTTCTGCTCCCAGAAGAATCTCCTTAAGCATGGGTGTGGGTGTGGGTCATAGGAGCAGGGTGGAGGTCACAGGGGCAGGGGGCTCAGCCACAAGGACAGGGGCCATCATCTCTTCTATGGCATGTGCCTCCCTATAGGAAGGTGAGGGTGGCCTGGGGGCCGGGCCGCACCTGCACCTGTGGGCTGCACAGTGATTCCCTTTCTCCTCTGTCCCTCAGCTTGCTGTGGTGAGTCATTCCCCCATGGACGCCGCAGAGCAGCAACTGGCCCACGCCACCCGCTGCCCACTACCAGGAAATGCTCCCTTGGGGCTGCAGGGGGCTGGGATGCTGGGCCATGCCCCTGTCAATCAAATAGCTAGTGACAGGCAGTGAGGACAGAAACCAAACCTTTCAACCTGATCTGCCCACTGTCCCCAAGCCATGTATCCCCCCACAAAAGATCCTTGTGGATGGGGGCACATCATAGACTGAGCTGGGTGGGACCCACTGTGTGTGGTGCACCACAGCAAAGAGGCCAGGAGGGGAAAGGTCCTGGGGCCCGGGTTGAGCTCGCACACACCATCTGCAGAGTGCAAGTGCGGCCCCATCGACATCCTGTTCGTGCTGGACAGCTCTGAGAGCATCGGGCTGCAGAACTTTGAGATCGCTAAGGACTTCATCATCAAGGTCATCGACCGTCTGAGCAGGGATGAGCTGGTCAAGGTGAGGTCAAGCAAAGCCACCTCCTTGGTGCCACCACCCATGGCCCCTTGAGACTGCCCAGAGACACTGAAGGGCTGCCACTTATTCAGGGGTGTGGTCAGAGACCCAAGTTCTGCAGGTGATTCCAGGACTCATCCATCGTGGATGGTCCCAAGAGGGATGTATGGGACCTGCATGGACCAAGGGGAGGGCAAGTGGGGTCCTGGAGCTGTGCAGGACAGACGGCAGGCTGTGGGCTCCATCTGACCTGGCCGTGGCCTCCAGTTTGAGCCAGGGCAGTCGCATGCAGGCGTGGTGCAGTACAGCCACAACCAGATGCAGGAGCACGTGGACCTGAGGAACCCCAACATCAGGAACATGCAGGAGCTCAAGGAGTGAGTGCCCATGGCGCCAGGGCATGCAGTGGCTCCCAGGTCTCCCAGGCCCTGACCCTAGATGGTCTCCACTCCAGCCCTGACTTTGACCCAACTACCTCTGTTGTCTAGGGCCATCAAGAAGCTGCAGTGGATGGCTGGGGGAACGTTCACGGGGGAGGCCCTGCAGTACACCCGGGACCGGTTGCTGCCACCTACTCAGAACAACCGCATTGCCCTAGTCATCACTGATGGGCGCTCAGACACCCAGCGGGACACAACCCCACTCACCGTGCTCTGCGGCCCTGACGTCCAGGTGGGTGGTTCCTCACTGCACCCTATCCACCCCAGGCACTCCGAGATGGCAAGGCTTTCTCCCCAAACTTTGCTAACACTGTCCTGGCCTTTCCAGGTGGTCTCTGTGGGCATCAAGGATGTGTTTGGGTTTGCTGCACACTCCGACCAGATCCACGAAATCTCCTGCCAAGGCCCATCCTTCCAAGGCCGGCCAGGCATTTCGCTGGTCAAGGACAACTTCGCAGAGCTGCTGGACGATGGCTTCCTGAAGAATATTACCGCACAGATCTGCATAGGTGGGTGCTAGGAGGCAGGAGATGGGGGTCAGGGCGTCATGAACCAAGAAGTGACATGAGACCTGTCTAAGACAGTTGGTTACGCACTCGGCTCACATGTCCTCATAGGAACCAGACAGCCTGCCAGGAAGTTGACATCCTCTCTCCAGAAGCCACCCCACACTCTCGACTTGAAAAATGCTCCCCAAAACTGAGCTCCCTCGTAGCCCTGCGTGGGCCTACACAGCCACCATCCCCACCCCACCCCGGCCTCTTCCCGGGCCTGAGCACTTCTGCAGGGCGAGCCTGGCTCAGACACCCACCTCAGCGGGCCCATGTACACTCATGTCCATCAGCAGCCAGAGAGCAGCTGGGGGGGAGATAAGGCTTCCCCACCTGCATGCAAATCAAACTTAATCCTCCCTGAGCCTCAGTTTCTCCATTCTCAGAAAGGGCCAAGGTTCCTCCCATCTTTCACTGGGTTGGTGTGAGGACCAGAACGTAGTGCCTGGGGGGAAGGGCCACGCCCTGCTGGTGTGAAGGGTTCAACTGTGCATGTGGCTAGCTGAGGTTGCAGATTCTCCTGGTGGGGTACTGGAATAGCAGTCAGTCCCTGCAATCACTGGGCTCATGCCATGAGTGCTTTTCTCTTTTACAGACAAGAAGTGTCCTGATTACACCTGTCCAAGTGAGTGTCCAGGAGAGGGAAGGTTTCTGGGACTGGGAGAGGTGGTTCATTGCTCCTGGGTCACAGAGGCGGGTCCGTGGAGTCACTAGCTGGTGATTGAGCACTGCTAGTCCTATGCCACTCTGGGGCTGGGCTGGGTTCTCTGGGGCTCAGGCTTCACGGGCAGCCCG